TTACACTTTCCCTAGACAAGACACTTGTCTGACTAATTTGTAAGATTAATTATTTCGTGATCAACAATTTTCGCGAGAAGGCAAAATAAATTGCTCTTTAGTTTAGTTTCCTTTAGAGTTTTTTATTTAAACAGATAGTTTTTAGTTTTCTGATTGAGGGAAAAAAAAATTGCACAAAAGCTTCCCAAGTTCATGCTTAGAAGCTGAGCAAATACTTCATGGGCAACTAAATTATGCATACAATTCTGTTAAAGTATGGTTGCAATTTCGTCTTCTTCACGTAGTTTTCTTTAAGAATCTAGATTTGATGAAAAATTAGTAATAAACTTTATAAAGTTTTGCTGTTTATAGTTCTATTATATTTTTGAATATAAGCTTATCATTCATTATCATTTTGAATATAAGCTTATCATTCATTTCATTATCAGCCTAAACAGGCTTACTAAAAGAAGAAAATGGTTCGGAAGTTTACTTTCTTAAGGGAAATTTTTTTTAACTAAATATGAAAGAAATTTGTGCTAATAAGTGTGATTTCTAAATTTTTTATATATGCTTGTTTTGATCCTTATTTTCTTATAATACTTGTTCTATACGAATAAATAGACAGTAATGTTTACAAAAAAATAGTGCGTGGAGTCCCTCCGCGCGGAAGAAGTTAAACTTCGTAACCTGCGACGTTAATTGTAGAAGAATCAGCAGTCGTAGAAGGATCACTAGTTCTATTCAACGACTCTTTTTCCTGCTCCGCTCGCTTTCGTGCTCTGTAATCACGGTAATATTGTGCATTTTTCCCTCTTGAACCTCTTGAACCAGTGGAAGCGCCTGTGTTTGCCTCATCGTCTCGCCCTGGAAAATGTATTTGTATTAATAATGTATGTGAATGCGTCATAATGTAATTTCAGAAGAGAAAACCTAACAATCAATTGATATTCACAAGAGACGTACCTTGACATCTTAAATCCGTCGCATTGTCCGTGGGATTGCATTCACTCATTTTTTACAATTGTTATCCACTAAATTTGAAAATAAAAAATACTACCCTAGTAAATGATATGTGTATCAAATCAAACTGAAAAAATATTTATAGAAAAACAATACTTTTATGACTTTTATTATTTTTATGCTAGTGAGAACCAAAACAATATGGAAATGAATGAGGGAAAACTGGATCCTAACACGTGATTTCCCGGCCAATAAAAATGTAGCGTTAAACGTTTAACGCAACCTTGTTGGAAGTCGCATAAGAAGTATAACTTCTAAAACCTTCACTCAAAAAGACAACTACACAATTTTTATTATAGTTGCATGGCTGCAAATTGGTCAATACGTTGAATAAACGCAGAATTAATTACACTAATAAACAAAATATTTTTTTTTATTGCAGTAACAGATTTTTAGAGCAGATGTTTCAGTAGTTTAAATCATATAAGCTCACTCTACGTTAATGAACTTCAATTTCAAACCAGTGGAATCATGGTATATGAATAACCTCAAGAAACTGAAGCAGAAAGATATACTTTTATGTAATATTTTATATTATATCTGTCTCTGAACCGCCGGCCCAATTTTTGGGTTTACGACTACTAATGTTCAATTCCGCAGCCTTGTAATTTTGAACCCAATCCAGAAGACAAGAAAACTCCTGGATCAATCCAGAGGTAATGAATTATTATGAGAACTTGGTGGAGTTTGTGACCCCGACAGATTTACCATGCACCAGACACCATTTTATACATGGGTATTATTCGGCCAGCTGAATTCGAACTCCCATTCTCACGAACCCGAGAACATAGCCCTACCAACCAAGTTATCAAGGCCAAATTATTACCCCCAGAGGTATTGATTTGTTATGGAAACATGGAGGACTTTGTGACTCGACAGATTTAACGTGCATCAGTCACCGTTTACTACACAGGGAGTCTTCGGTCGGCGGGGATCGAACGCACGAACTCTTGGATATGGGCCCAGCTCCCTACCGACCTGGCTATCCCGGCCCAGAGAGATATACTTGATCAAAAAACTTTATTTGCTTCAAAGACAGGAAAATAGTTTTTAAAAAAAACATATTTCGAGAGCTCAAAAAATAGACGCCACATAGGAATTGCTAGGCGTGAATGAGGAGATCGAAAGGGATTTGAAACATAAAGTCGCCACGAAAAACGGAAAATAAAGGTGAAAAACAAAACTGGAAAAATCCCGGTAGCCTTGATTGAGCACGGAATAATGACAAATTTTAAATTATCCCATTCAAACGTAGCGGAAAAAATTAAATTGTTGTTGAAATGGACGCACTTGTCACATCGTTATCTTTTTTCACGTCTCTCCTAATCATAGAAAGGAAAGAAGAAGAAAAAGTGCTTGCGAGCACCCAAAATTTGGTATTATAGAATTCCTAAATGTTCTAGTGTTTTGTTCTAACAAGGATATACATAATGTATAGTTTTAACAAGATTAATTTTTAACAAGGATATACGCAAGTCATATTCTTGTTTTGTTTTGTTATCTTTTTAATTAATTTTATTTATTTTTATTTCAATAATTATGTTTTCAGTCAGAAATTATTTTCACTTAATGCCATTTACAAATATCGAAAGACTCTTGTGAACCCTTGCAATACTAGTTTTAAACGATTATCTTTTCGTGTCTTATTATTTTTTTAATTCGAGTTTTTATGTTCTATTATAAAATATAGAGTCTCTACTCTTTTTTTAACAATTTACACCATAAATTACAGCATCGGCTGCATTAAAAAAATTTAACGATTCTTCCAATAAATGTTTGGGAAACCATCTGCGAAATGTGCTACATTTTTTTACTGAACTAATTTACTTCTAGTGTTGTGCATTTTTTCTATATATGCTGGCCTCCAAAGTTAAGGTACAACTTATTTTCCGCGTCGAATTTGGAAATGAATGAACATAGAAAGGAAATTTGGAAGAAATATGCACGGAATAATTTTTTATTGAATGAGACATAGAATTGATAATAAATTTGAACGGAAGCATGATTTGCAACAAAAGAAATAAATAAAATATTCCATCTCTAAGAAAACAGTAAATCACAGCCTTTTGTGGAAAACTGTTATGAAAATATTACAGAAATGAGTTTTAGTATGGATTATGTCCTCGCCTAACTGAAATGTTTATATGTTATCGACTTTCCAATCTACCAATTAAGCAGAAATGATGTGAGAAGATCAAACACGGATTAACCCTTGTTCCAACTTATATAACTACCATAAATGAAGCCCCAAAATAGCAACTTGTTTGCGAAGGTAATACCAAACATTTTTTTAATTTAGATCTGAAAATTTATCCGATCAATCCAACTGTTGTCCAGAAATTCCTCCATATGATAGAAGGGAGTTTAAACTAAAATCAAAACCAACTTAATCCATAAAAAAGCGAACATATGCTTTCAAAAATACATCTTTATACTCATACTAGTGGTGTACTTATACCAGTAATGCTGTACACCTCCATTTTCATATTCTTTCAAAGACTTGGGAGAATGGGGTCCTGTGGCTGTCCAACATGATCCTTTACCCGGTCATAAATATAGGTTTTACTTCTAATGTGGTTGATTTCTTGGACATTGTTTTATTCTTTTATAAAGAAAGAGGTAAGTATCTTTTACCTATTTTCCACTTTCACAAAAATCGACCGTTTAGAAAGCGATGTTTTGAGAAGATTCGATGACTTGGACCAAACTATTTCAAATTTACAGAAGATTAAATTTTAAAAAAAGAAATTTCATTTAGAGAGTATAGTCACAGTTTAAATTAAAAGCTCATGTAATAAAACAATGAAAAATAGAATGATCGAAAAATAGAATGATCGAGTTTTGTTTTCTGCATTAATCCACTGCAAATTTCGCCTGAATTTTCACAGATTTCATACACACGCGATTAATTTATCCAATTTATGAAATAAAAACGCTGATACTAGAAATAATGATAAAATTGAAATTTCAATTTGAGTTCTCTCTATTTTTTACAATTTCTTGTATTTTCTAAAGACGTGATGGCTCAAAGCTAAGGAACTGAGCTGTCGTTGTGATGACATGGGATCGATTCCTAGTGATGACTTGAAGCCCATTCAGCTTTATATTCATAGATACCAGCATTCTCACAGAACACGATTCACAGATGCAGTAGTAGGAGTTAGTTATTTACGTCGCACTAGAACTGCACAATGCTCAATGGACTATTGGTGACGGTCTGGGAAGCATTCTCGAGAATAATTCTCGAGTATTCGTCTCACATGCCATCACAATTTTAATCCTCTGTGAAGGGAATGGCTACCCAACTTGGGTAGCCCGACGACCTGTGTGTGAAGTCGAGGACTTTACGGTAGAACAGTTTAATGAGCATGCCCTTTTTACAGCATACCCTCGGTCATTGCTCAGGCTGCTCAAAGTGGTCATCCATCCACTCACTTACCGCTACTAGTTCTGCTGAGAATTATTAATTGGATTTTACAATATAGTCCACTGTGGCACGATTCGTATATGCGATCGCAAGTCAATGTGATTTGCTCAGGGGCGAACAGGTCGTCTCACAAGCAATTTCTAAACACTCGTACACTCATCTAGAACAATCGAATGCAATTTGAATGCTCCTTAAACTGGGAAGCAAAAACAGCTGAGAGCAAAACTGATCGCATTGCTGAGAGGGCCGCATGCTGAGGAACCGTTTTCACTGCATGTGGTTCACACACAGCCGATCGCTGTTAAAAGAAAAGGAGAATCTGATTGGCGAATTTTTTGAGAGAAAATATTTTCTAAACATCCAAGTTCTCATTCTCCATGGATAGTGATCGCATATGCATCTATAAAATATGCATAACAGGATGCATGACAAGCGGCTAGCCAATATGTTGCTGCTCCTGCGTCGAAAACGCTTGCATGGAAAATTATCTCCAAATAAATTACCTAAGTCAACGAGCTTTATCTTAGCACTTTTGCGCAGGTATCATTCTAGAAGAACATTTAAAATGATCGAAGTGTTTGGAATTTTTATTTACGATGTTTCTGAAGGTGAAAAGGTTGAGTGAAGGTCAAATCGATATTTCCAATGATCGGTGTGATGTGATCTAGTTCAGCCCTGAATTCAGAAAGGTTAATACGGAAAACCTTCTCCACCAAAACTGATATCAACTCAGGAAAAATACGTCTGAGCTGAAACTATGGCGAATGCAGCACTTCGTATTTTCGCAAAATCTGCTACAAGAGAAGGTTCAAATCTATTAAGTAGGGTAAGTAATTAAAAAGGGCTACTAATCAGCATTTTTGTTTAGAAAAAGTTCTTTAGGCTTAATTTAATTTCACAAATATCCTATAATTTTTATTCCATACTATCTCCGTTATCTCTATTTTGGGGAGTGTCAAATTTGTAAATTCTGAAGCATTTTATCTCTTAATCTGCCTCTAATAAGTAACCAAATTATCATTGAAAATTCCCCTTCATAATAATTGATTGTTAAATTTTAATTTATTGAGCTCAAGACTTAGTTTCTGTTAGACTAAAAATTTTGATTACAAATATCCTGGTTCTTATCGCCAAATTTGGCGACAAAGCATCAATCATAATTTTATTTATCAGCGGCATATTTGATATTGAATTAGACGTGTAGTTAATGTAAACATGATGTAGACTTTTTACATTTTCTTATTTATTCGGAAACTTTCTGAGATATTTTTTTAAACGTTAAAAATTCAATTATTTGAGCATTATAATTTTTTATGTAATTACAATATAAGTTTTAGTTTTTTAATTTTCAAAGTAATTTTTAAAAAAAAATTTAAATATAAGTGCTGTTTCGTTTTTAAATATGCGTTTTTTAATTTATATGTAATTAATGGATTTTGGATTTTTAAGTACTCTTTGTTAAAATTAAATTAATTTGACAAGTAGGGTGAATTTAAAATTTTCGTTTTGAAAATTTAAAGAAAAATAATGTATCCAAAAAAGCTGGAACTAACAAAATGCAGAGGTGACAATAAAGAGAAAATGGAGATAAAACTCAAATTTAACTACAGTGATAGCTGTTAGGTAATAAAATTATAGTGAAACTAAGTACTTATGTCTTCAATCTCCACAAAATGCTAATAAAAAAAAAAAAACTTCTTTTTAAGGAATATTTTTTTGCATTTAGTTCAAATTTTTTTTTTTTATTGATCACAATAAGCATCATTTAAGCATTAGAAGTGATTTTAAAAATTGAAGAAGGGTGACCCTGGGTAATTCATGAATCATGATCACTCTGTTTCTGGGGTAAATAATGATCACCTAAGTTTTATTTAAAAAAAATTTTTTTTTTTTAAATTTGAGACATGGACAAGAATGCTTGTACACTTTACTAAAGTATAACTACATTTACTTAATAATAATTTTTTGTTTAATCTAACAAAATAAGTATCTTTCAAACTGCTTTCTGTCCTACGTCCAAACATCTTTTTCTGTTACTGCCGTGGTAGAGATAAACCCCCTCTCGTTGATGTGGGGTGAGTACATTTTTAAATTGTGTTATTCAGGGTGCGTAGCATTTTTGAAAAGTGCTTAAAGGTGCTTATTTTTCTTGCAATTTTTAAAAGCCCTTAAAGGTGCTTTTTTTGGTGTTTGTAAGAAGTGCTTAATTTTCTATCTTTTAAAAGAAATTTTTTTCCTTGCCGTGTAAATTTAAATTCTAAATCTTCATGCAAAATACAAAAAATGCATGATTTCCACAATTTTCTCTGCAATATTTATCAGAAACTAGTTATTTTATCACAATCATGTAAAGTTTTTGAATTTTATGTTTATAAATTAAGAACTTTAAACAGTTGAAAACTTTTTTATTAGTACACAGATCCTAATTATGATTTTTCTTTTGGAAAGTGATAAAAAATATTTTTTGAGCGCTTAAAAAGTACTTAAAAGGTACTTATTTTGNGCATGATGCAAAGATTTTTGAAAATTTAAAGTGTTAATCGTTCCTCTTGCTTTTAAATAAATTGTTTTATTAGCTGCTTAAACATATCTTTTTGGTTTATTTGTTTGATCTTGATGTCTTATTTGTTAATTACCATTATATAATTATTTCTAAACAGCCCTTTTACAATAAAAACTGGTGATCAGTAATTACCCCAGAAGTGATCAGGAATTACCCCAGAAATGATCAAGACCAGGGGTAATTCCTGATCACTAAAAATTTAAAATCTTTTAAATTCTAATTAGATTTTCAAACAAAAAAAGGTGGCATAGGACTCATCTCATATAGCCTCAAACTTCCAGTAAATATTAAATTTCTCTTTTGAATAGTTTTTTCACAAAATAGATGTTTGCGTTTTTTGATCAGGAATTACCCCAGGTCACCCTAAATCAGAAATTTAATTTATATTATCATTAAACTGTTAATAAAATTATTATTAATAATGTTACCTTCAATCGAATCGCTTAGTTCATATTGGCTTAAATAATTAATATCTGTGTTTTTCTTTAATTTTTATTAAGTAATTTTTTTCCTGGGCTATGTTTCTGACGAAATTATTTTTAATTAGTATACATCAATGTGTGCCAATCAGCAGCAACTTTGTCAAAAACTAATTTTAAAATATTAGTTATATGTTAAAATAATTAAAAACTTTTTTTTGTTCATTAGGTTAATTGTACAACAAAGCTTCCTAACTATGTTCAAAAAAGAAACTTGAATCTCCATGAACATATCAGTTTAGGCTTATTATCTAGTGCTGGCGTCAAGGTTCCTAAATTTGGAGTGGCTAGAACTCCAGATGAAGCTCTGCAAGCTGCTGAAAATTTAGGTAATGATATAATTTTTTATAAGTCTCAAAAATAATACTTGTGCTCATTTTAATTTTTCCTTATTTATTGAAATTGAACTTTTCTATATTTTTTCTTTTATCTTAATTTCATATATATATATAAACGATGTTGCCGAGTGGAAGGATAAAAATAGGTCTTAGGCATGGAAAGAGAGTATAAAATTTATTTATTTATTATTAGATCCAGAACAGCTATAAAATTGATCACGAAATTGTTGTGCTCCTTAATAAAAGTTAGAGAAAATCTTGCAAAGTAAATTCGTAAAATGCTTCATTTTTGGGAATAAAGGAAATTTTAGTAATTGTGATTGGTTTATCAAATAGGTCGCTAGATTCCCACAAAAAGCAAAGGAAAAATGTCTTACTTTTAATTAATGCATACTTGAGCCAAAAATAGATTAAAGGAGGATGTGAATTTAAAAGTGTGAGAAAGCGTTTCGTTTTGAGTAATAAATTAAGAAAAATATTTTCAAGAAAGGAATAACATAAAAAGATTATTTGAAGCTTTTTATATTATATATAAATATATATATTGTCACATAAATTTTATATCATTATGAATATTAAGTTATTTATCAGATTTAATAACTGTTATTGCTTGAATAACTGTTAAGTTTTTGTGTATTTACATTCAAAACATTTAAATTATTTAAAAAAGTCATTTACATGTTGCATATATTACCTAGTAAAGTTGAAGATTTGGCATTGCATGCAGTGCCTGGAAGGATTAAACATTACGCACATTGTTTACAATGTTAAATTACAAGCCTTTAAAGCATGAAATATGATTATTTCCTACTTTTTAGTATGATTACTCGGCTCACGACCAGAGGACATCCTATACAGTCTTCAGGCGGCAGAAACTAATTTTCCGACAAACTTTTGGAAATATTTCGCACTGTCATAGACTACAACAACAATTATTATTATTATAATCTGTTATATTATCTGTTATATATATTATTATATCTATTATTATAATTAGAAATATTTTTTTGGTGAAATTAGTTGAAACTAGTAAGAAGATTTGTATTTTATTTTGTTTTATTAGAAAGATACATAAATTTAGTATGGCTGTATATTAACATTATCGATTATTATTACTCGATATTCCCCTACATTCATGTTTTATTAAGAGTAGTCATTTGCAGGTATTCCTTATACTGATGTTTTTTCTTAACAGATATTATAAAAAATTGGAAAAAAATTCACAAAAAAATTTATAAAGTTTATTAAATGAAGAAAATATTATTTTTCTTTAATTAAATATTTTTATTTTCCTTGAAACTTTTTATATTTTTAAAAGAAAAGAAACTTGAGAGAAAAAAATTTCAGTTTGTCCTGCCAAACCATACTTTGCCTTTAAGTGTTAATCATTGCATACAGTTTCTAGGTATTGTATACAATGCCTAGACACTGTACTGAGAAAAGTTGTTATATTTCTCTCTTTTTCTGAAGACACTGAACGTTATGTACATTGTTAGTTACATATGCATTTCCTTCTGAACTGTGAATAAGTATCTAAACTTTGTTGCTGCAATTGTGTTTCATTGTTTGTTAATTTATATCATCCATTATTATTAGGAAGTAAAGATTTTGTTGTCAAAGCCCAAGTTCTTGCTGGGGGTCGAGGAAAGGGAACTTTTGAATCTGGCTTAAAAGGGGGTGTGAAAACTGCTTATTCGTAAGTATAAATTAAGTGCTCATTACATCATTTAAAAAAGTAACTGTGTTACTCTTTATTAGTGAATGTGGTTGGCAATTGGTTAAAAAGCTTTCCAGGTATGCAAAAATAGCCTTGGGGGGTTTTTAGTAAAAATATTGGTTTAAAGATTTGATGCTGACTGTCATAAATGCAAAATCATTGCTTGAATGACTTTTTTCATAAAATACTTTGCAATTTTTTCCCCTCCAAAACAGCTGATATTAACACCAGTTAAAGGACATAATTGTCCTTTAGCTTGTGTGGTGAGTGGTTTTGTGTGGGTCTGGAGTGTATTGAACTATGTAGCAGTAGGGTCTCCAAAGCCAGGTATATCAAACAATACACAAGTGCTCTAGCTTGTAAGTTTGTGGGACTGATAACCCATCCTGTCAAATATTTTTCATTCCAAATTTTTAAAACCAAATTATGGACAGTTCTCTTGAAATGCTTTAAGGATTTGAATTTCAGATATTAAAATGTTGTTTGCTCTACAAGAGTTCAGCTCTTCAGGTACTGGTGAGGACTTGAGAGTGACAACTGAAACATTCTGGTTAAAAAGAAGAAGAAAATTCTGAAGACCTTGGCCCACATAGAGCTGATAATTTAATAAAAGACATAATTGAGATTATAACAGATTCATAAAACTAAGAAGCTAATTGGCAGACTCTTAATCTTAAAACTAGTGTATCCATACCTGTCGAAACAATAGGAAGAAAAAAAAAACTGGTGCATTTTTCTCACAAATTTTATCTTTCCAATTCTCTAAATGTTCCACCATCCAAAAGTCAAAATAGCAATTTAAAATTTTGATAGATATTTTGTACTTACTCAACATTAGAAGGCTTTGAATTATGTGACATTGAATAACTTAAAGTTAAGTTATAAAGCTAGATTTGAATATAAAGAATCAAACGAAAAGAATCAAACTTCATATAAAAATTGATTTTTTTATAATGCAAAGTGTATTTAAATATTTTTTTTATTCGAAAACCATTAACTAATCTATTATAACAACCACTTTTTCACATAGATCATTAGTTCTTGCAGTTCAACATTAAAATACCTAATAGTAATAGACTGGGAATTCTGATCACATTTATCAAATTATAACTTTGTCTTGTAAACAATTTTACTTTGAGCCAGGTTTTTCAAATTTCATTGATTATTATAAGTAAACTTTAATAAATATTGTTTACATATGCTTTGGGAATAAAATTACATCATTATATGGTTACATTTTCTCTACTTTAAATATCTCTCTATTTTTTTTACTATTTTAAATCATATTCTTTTTTATTTACAGACCTCAAGAAGCCAAAGATTTAGCTGCTCAGATGTTAGGCAAACGGTTAGTTACTAAGCAGACTGGAGAAAAAGGAGTATTATGCCAAGAAGTGATGATTGCTGAAAGACTGTATACTCGGCGAGAATATTATTTTGCCATTATGTTGGAGAGAGAATTTGGTGTTAGTATATGTTAGAATGTCACTGCATTATTTTTTCTAATTTTTCTAATTCATTGGGTGAAACTTTTTCAGTATCATTTAATTTCCAGGATTAATTTCCAGGATCATTTAATTTAATTTTCTTTTCTTCTCATATTTAGTTTACTTCCAAAAGTTAAGCTCTCTATTTTCTTATGTAGTATTTTAATTGTAATTGGTCAACAATCAGGAAAAAAATTTTTATAGTCTTTATAATCATAATTCGTGGTAATGGCATAATAAGTTAACTTTCAAAGTCTTTGATTTAAACTGAACGGAAAGTTTTATATTTGAATTTAATTGAAAATTCTGTTTTTCTGCTAATTTCTGTATCTTTTTTACTTTTACTAGACTTCTGATTTTTGTTCGATTTCCAATGTAAAATGAAAAAAAGATGAATATAATGGAAACAAAATCTGGCATTTCACTACAGCCCGAAAAAATCGCTTTTTTTCTCGTAAGTCTGACATAATTGAATTATTACAGTCAAGTATCACTTCTCAATGTCAGAGTGCACAAAAATTTCACATTTTGAAAAATTACGGATTCAAAATGAAATTATCATGACTAAAACAGGTTATTAAATGATTACTCAAAAGCACTTATTCAGAGTTTGCGGATCATAATAATATATTTAAAATGAAATCAAAATTTTAAAAACTGTTTGGAAATCCCAAATTGTTAAAAAAAAAAAGCTGTCGACAAAACCACATTAACAATTTTGTCGTCGTAAAATAATTCTACAAATGCACGTCTGTGTATAATAATGTAGCATTAAAAAACTATTAAAATATGTAACAATAGCTTACAAAAGTGCGATTGTAAATCCATGGGGGGTTGCTGATAAATCATCAATAATTAAGTGTAAAATGCGTGATTCAAAGTTTGGAAAATGAAATCTGGTATTAAAACATTGAGATTTTAAAAACTAAGTAAACAATTGTTTTAACCAAAAACACAATCCTTAAAACAGTGTGGTTTCACCGTGGAATTGTTATTACCATGTAAAAATTTTAAAAATAGTGCAACCATATGGATTTATTAGTTGTTGATTGAAGTTAACGTAATTATTGTCTATTTGTTATTTTTTATTGAATAAGGATGTTTTGATGTTGGTCTGGCTTTGATTTATTACCTGGAAAAATCTATTTTCCAAACTTGAACTTGCCGAAGTTGCTACAATTTGGGATATGGGACTTTGCATTGTATTATTTACAGTATTGACTTTTCCTAAGACAAAAAAAAAAATTTTTTTTAAGTTTAAAAACTCAAGTTATGTAGAGAATTTTTTCTTTTTAGTAAACCTCTGTTGAAAATAAATATTTTAAGTAATATAACTATTTTAAGTAAAGCAGAAGAAAAAGTTTTTTGTAAATCAATGTAATATTTTCTGAGATACATTAAATATTGCAATTTTAGCATGGGTTTGCAGTAATCTCCTTTTTTAAGATTTGATTTCTTCATAAAATTAATTTATTTTTACGTTTACTTTGCATTAATTTTTGTACAAGACATTATTTATTAATTTAGAGGGGATAGAATACCAAATTAAGTTTAAATATAGTGTAATTCAGTATATCTTTGTATTTCTGAATTTGTTATCTCTTACCAGATATTAATTTTCATGTAAAAAAAATTTTCTTTTTGTAAAAGATTTTTGTTTCATTTTACAGTGCAATTCAATTGTATGTTATTTTATAATTGACTTCTAAAATTACTACTGATGTCACTAACTATAGCTTTAAAAACAAATAAAGGGTCCAGTGATTATTGCTAGTTCCCAAGGTGGTGTGAATATTGAAGATGTCGCTAGAGATAATCCTAGTGCTATAATAAAGGAACCCATTGACATCACGAAAGGGCTCTCTACCGATCAAGCCATGAAAGTTGCTAAATATTTAGGATTTAAACCAAATAATATAGATCAGGTCTGTATACCAGCTTTATTCTTTTCTAATTTCCCCCACTATATAAATAACCTTATTGAATATATTAGTTTCAATATCCCAAGGTTTCTAGAAATCTTTATTATATTACTCCATATCTTTTATTTTGTTTTGTTTTTTCAATGTCTGCTTTCTTATTTAGAATAGTAGAAGAGCTATGTAATGCATTTCTGTAAACCACTATACACCATATACCACATTAATTTTATAATCTCAGAAGTTAGCCAAAAACTATAAATTTTTTGGATTTCATTTCTTATTTCTTGTTCAATAAATTTTTTTTGTGTATTTTCCTTTTGCTATGATTTGCAAAGATCTTCTGTAAATGAACAAGAAAATACTGTAAAAATTTGTTAATTTTCTAGTATTTGCAAATTTTTGAAAATTAAGTTATTACTACAAATTATAACAACTAATATAAGAAGATTACAAAAATATCAATTTTTTGTTTTAATCATCATCTGAATTCCTAACATCTGTTTTTTTTTTTTTTTTTTTTTTAATGCAGTGCAGAACCCATTATTCGGAAATCGGAAAACCAAAAAACCGGAACGAAATTCAATAAATTTTCTCGCTATTTTTTAAAAAAAAAAATTTCTTTTCTCATAAGATTTTACGATTTTTCTTTCTTTTTTTAAAGATGTTTACCTTACCATCATTTTGGAAATAATCATTAGTGTATTACTTCATCATTTTTTCTTATTTTTAAGATTATTTCCAATTTTTTATTTTTTTTAGTTGGGTTTAACAATTAAAAAAACGGCTTTTTGTAGCGATTCAGAAAACCGGAAAAATCAGTTATCCGGAATAGCGATGGTCCCGACCATTACTGATAATCGGTTCCCTACTGTACTTATATGTATGAAAGTGGTATAAAATCTTACATGTATAAAAGTGTTATTTTTATTAGAAATAAATATTTTCTAAAATGATGCTTGTAAACTAATAATAAAGTCTTTAAGTCTTTCTTTAATTACTCTTTTTTTCAATTATAAATCTCAATTGATATCAATAATTTAGATTCTAATTTTTATTTCCTTTAATGATAGTGGTTACAATCTAATGAATTTAATTTATTAATGAAGTGAATTTATGAAATTAATGAAGAAGATGAGTAATAAATGAAATTGATTTATTTTTTAGGTTAAAGCATATATGTATTTTCTAAAATATTAAAATTTGTAACTGTTTTAAAAAGTTCATTAATTGACTTTTTTCAGGCTGTTGAAATAATTGTGAAATTGTATGAAGCTCTTTTAAAGTATGATGCAGTAATGATTGAAATAAATCCTCTTGTGGAGGATGCTTCAGGAGATGGTAATTATACCTTATATTTTGACTAATTTATGCACATAGGCTGGGAGGCCACTGACAGGACATTAAAATTAGGCTTATAAAAAGCATCGGTATGACTAACTTAATTTATTGATCATTGTTTATTTAAAACCTAAATTAATTTTACTATTCCAGTTCAACGGTTTACTTTAAAAGGTATGGTGCTCCATGCATACCTGCCAAGTCTCCTGTTTATTAACAAAGACTCCTGTATTTTACAATTATCTCCTGTTTACCACTATATTCACAAATTTCTCCGTATTTATTAAAGAAATTTTAAAAAAACTTTTGGCAATAAAATATCCGCTGATGGCAAAAATACTTATCTTATTCCTCAACAAATAGTTCTCTTGTCAGTGCTGCAGTATGTTGAGTGTTTAAAGTTTAAGGACCCCTTGCAGTCAGGCTAACTGTGGGACGTTTTCGTGGTTTTCCTCTCCATGTAATGCAAATGCGGGTTAGTTTCATCAAAAAGTCTGCCACAAAGGTAAATTTCTCCCGCTACTTGATTGATCCAGGAGTTTCTCTTGTCTTCTTGATTGGTTTCAAACAGGGTTGGCAAGTTTTTGACACATGACGGTTTTTACCGGTTTATACCATGGTTTTTACCGTCATGTCAAAAACCCATAGTTTTGGTAAAACTGTATTTTTATTTGAGTTTAACTGCTTATAATTTAAAGTTAATTCATTTTTGAGCAATAAAATTAGAAAAAAAGTTGTTAAAAGATATTTAAGAACGGATTCTTGCATTTTCCCAACATGATTATATCAAAATATACTATTTGAAGTAAAATATTAGAATACTAAACAAAATTTTCAACATTTCCAAGCATCATTTTGTTTGGCATATTACATTACTGAAGAATGTCAAGATTGATTACTTTCATTCATAAAATCTTGCTTTGAGAAACACATACATGTACACATAAAAAGAAAGCCTCATAAAATAAACTTTTCTTATCAATTTTGCTTTCATTATTTTACACAGAAATGAGACATGAAAAAGCCTGGGAAATCCTTTTAGAGTTTCCTTGCAACATTGCAATAGCCTTTTGTTATCATTATCATCTATATCATTTTGTTATCATATCCCTCTATATTTCTATATGAATGTATTATATCCTTCTATAAGAATACATGTATATAGTTGCAAAATCAATAGCAATCATTTACAACATTCATTTATAAAGGGAATTATGTGAAAATAATATATTGTCCGCTATATGCCATAAATTAAAGAAAACAGTAGGTTTTTGACAGTTTTTACCGGTAAAAACACAGTGTTTACCACTGCCATGTCAAAAACCAGTTTTTGACGGCAAAAACCCAACCCTGGTTTCAAAATTACAAGGCTATGAAATCGAACATTAGTAGTTATAAACCCAAAATTGGGTCCGCTGTTTAACTAGGGCTATAAAATATTTTAAGTAATTATAAAAATAATGGTTTAAAAAATCTTCTTTAGATTAAGATTTAAATGCATATTTGTTGCTAAATGTATGTGCTTATATTTCCAATTTTAAATTTCTCTTTTTGATTTTTTCTTTGTTTTATGCATGATGTATCAAAGCTTTACTCATAGCCTAAAAAATTTTGCTATTAAAATCTCTGTTATTTTATTTCTCCAATGTTGGCAGGTATGTCCATGCTTAAAGAGGTATTATGCCTGATGAGATTCTTATATAAATTGAAGAATTTATATAGGTGTGATAAAAAAAAACAATAGACAATTTTTAATATAACTTTATTAAAAATAAATAAACAATACAAATAATATGTGTAGACTTTTACTAATAAATTTTAATTGGTTTCAAAGTGGCTATCTTTTGCTGCAATGCAGCGGCGTAAACTGATATTGAAATTTTCAGCAATGAGCTGCGAGTCTTTTACCTTTAATCTATCCCATTCCTGTTGAAGCAATTGCTTTAGAGTAATCCACAGAATAGAGATCTGGCTATTTGGGTGGCTTTTGCTTGACATACAAACAAAACAATATGTAAACTAAGATATTAAAAATAAATAAACAAAACAAATAATACGTGTAGACTTTTACTAATAAATTTTAATTAGTTTGAAAGTGGCAATCTTTTGCAGCAATGCATCGGCGTAAACTGATATTGAAATTTTCAGCAATGAGCTGCGAGTCTTTTACCTTTAATCTATCCCATTCCTGTTGAAGCAATTGCTTTAGAGTAATCCACAGAATAAAGATCTGGCAATTAGGGTGGCTTTTGCTTGACATACAAACAAAACAATTATGTGAACTAAGATATATTTTATAATTAAAGTGATAAATAAAAAGATAGGAAGTCTCAAATTTAAAAGAAGTTAGTTCACTTCTACGATACAATGACTTTGTCCAAGTTTTTTTGCTCTACCTTTTATATCATTTAAGATTTTTAGAATAAGATCTTTTAGATAGAAGATCTTTTAAAATTTAATTGGTAGTTCAGAAGATGTGTTTAGCTTTAAAGATGTTCAAAATTAATATTCATTATAGCTGACTTTTCTTGATATGGATAGAAGATCATGATAGACACAATATGGGATTTTTTTTAAGTATATCATGAATAAATGGCCAATTTGATGCCTAAGTTTGTCAAAACTCATCCATACTGAAAATTTTTGTGACATTGAGTATCGTTTTAACTTCTGAGAGACTATAAAAACTTAGTTCTTTGGAACCCATTTAAATATCTTCCTAATTATTATTTGAGAAAGTTTGTTAAAAACAAATAAAATAACATTGAAAATTCAAAGCAAAAGTGAAAAACATTTTTTCTTCTTTTATTCAATTTGTGATTTTTTGCATTTTGACAAAATTTTATTTTTCTGTTTATTTGTAAAATTAATCTAAAAATATTTTTCAGTATACTGCTTAGATGCTAAATGCCGATTCGACGATAATGCTGAATTTAGGCAAAAGAAGCTCTTTGAACTTAGAGATTGGTCACAAGAAGATTCGAGAGAAAGAGAAGCTCATAAGCAAGGCTTAAATTATATTGCTTTAGATGGAGACATTGGTTGCTTAGGTAACAACTAATATTGTCATTAGTATTTCTCAATTTATATTCCTATTCGTTTAATTTAAAGTTTTTTGTATTTTAAGTTTTAATATGCAAATATTCTAGAAATTTATAAGAAGTTTTTTGTAGGATTTTTATCAAGAAACCTATATTTTTCAAAAGTTCCATTGTAAGGGTTTCGTTGTATGGGAATTTGTTAAATTGAGGGTGAAAATAAACAAGTTTGATTGTATTTATTTTTTAGTCAGTCATAAAAAAAAAAGGATCCACAAAAATCTGAAAAATGTTTAGTAAGAAAATGTTGATCGAGCTAGCAAATCTATATAGTGTTTATTGAATTGCGTTTTACAGAATTTTAATTGTTTATAAAAAATTGTCTTATTAGTTTGATATAGTATTACTTTCTTTTTTTACAGTTAATGGTGCTGGACTTGCCATGGCTACAATGGATATTATCAAGCTACATGGTGGTAGCCCTGCTAACTTTTTAGATGTTGGGGGAGGAGCTACAGTTAAACAAGTTACTGAGGCATTTAAATTGATCACATCAGATTCCAAGGTAAATTTAAAATTAATACTAATTAGCTGCACAATGGTAATTTCCAACTTTTAAGAATTAACATTGTAAACTATTAATTGTTGTTTTTAATAGAAAAAGTTTGTAATTAAAATAGTTTTTGAGTATTAATATGTTTAAAGTTTATAATGCAAAAATGCAGCCTTTTATTGTGCCAAAATAGTTTTAAAAATTTTTAGCTTAAAATACATTTTTTTTTATATATATGTTTTATATATAAAGTAAAGGAATGTTGCACCTTGAATTAATTTTGACTTAATGATTGCATGCTAAGGCACTGTCTTTACAATTTAGGGGGCCTAGCTACAGTATCTTAATTTGATTACACAAAAACATACTTTCTCTAGATATCCCCTTTTTTTAACCCTTAAATTATACAGTATTAATTACATTCTGGAAGATATCAAACCAGCAGCTTATTAAAAGATCAATTGAAAGTTTAAGTCCATTAATATTTTTATGTTTTTTAATGTTAGTAGTGACAATGAATTGGTATTTTATTTCGTACATTTTTTCCTATAAAATTAATAATTATTGCAATTTTTGTGGTTATTGAATATGTTTGATTGAAAAAAAAATTATATATATATTGGCTGATATTGCAGAACAACTAGATTTTATCTAAAATAGTTTTGAAGTGATACTTAATGAATTGCTTAATTTACTTTTAATATTTTTTATCAAAATGCTGTGGCTTCTTCATTTTTTCAGTTTATTATTTTTTATTATTAAGACTCTTTTATTTGAAGTTAAAGTTTGATATCATGAGTATTTATTTTATTTGTAAGTGTCTGTGAGGTACTAATTTAAAAATTTAATCTTATTATAGGTGCAAGCAATTTTAGTAAACATCTTTGGTGGCATTATGAGGTGTGATGTTATTGCTGAAGGTATAATTACTGCAGCTGAAATGTTGAATCTAAAAATACCTATTGTTTGCAGACTTCAAGGTATGGTTCTATGTTTTCAATTACTAGCTCTTTATGTTATATGAGATCATAATTATTATTCTTTATATGTTTAGGATTTATATTAATTAATAAATAATTTATTGTTAGGAAATGAAATAAGAAATTAATAATACCGCTTTTTTTGGATACTTAAAAATTGCAAATATTATTTATGATGATAACAAATTCTGTTATCTTTCATTAACTAGCTTACTTGAGTATGTAAATAATGTCTTTCCTGTGTTTCAATTTATATAATAAAAGATCATTGGTGCTCTAATAAAAGTTAAACAACTGCTAAATTGTTTGAACAGCTCCCTCAAATAATAACTCTATATTTTAAGGGACTACTTAGATAAGGATATGAAGGACTGTATAATGTGTTTTGAGCATGTTTCAGATTTGCTGGAACATTCATATCTGTAAAGTGGTGGAAATAATTCTTGGAGATTGCTTTTTCAAGCACAAGTGTATTAAAACAAAAAAATCTACAAATTAAATTAATCAAGAACAAATATTTTTTGTGCTTATTTTATAAACATAGTTCAAACTCACTCTTTACTTTTGTCATTTCCAAATAGATCTTTAAAATAAGCCAATTTTGAAAATCAATATAGTGGTTAAGTGAAAACACACAATATTATGAATTGCAACTTAATAATAATCTGATTTTGCAGTGTGTCTTTTGCCTTTGAAGCACTTTTTCATTCTTCAAGTTACCATAAGTTTGAAGCAATTTCAAGAGCATATCATGTGCGCATCTAAACAAATGTTATAATGTAGTGCTGAAATTTTAGGTTTTACATTACTTACATTTCATAATTTTAAATTATTTACATTGTCTCCATAACCGAGATCTCAAATGCAAAAGTTTCAATGAGTTATCAATGTAATAATGTTTACTGAACTAGTTTTTTGTTTATTTTGCATCTTCATAAATTTTGGCCTCTTTAAAATTATAGGCATATGAGCATATTTTGTGCTTTGGTTAAATTGCACAATGTGTACCTTTTCAAATTAACAAAGCTTCAGAATTACAGCTGCTCTGTAACAGTTTTATTTTATATTATAACCGTTGTTGAACAGCCACCCAATTTTGGGTTTACGACTACTAATGTTCAACTCCATAGCCTTGTAATTTTGAACCAATCCAGAAGACAAATAACTCCTGGATCAGTACCCCCAGAGGTATGATTTGTCATGGGCAGGGGTCTGTCTAGGTTTTTCAGAGAGGTACCTATTTTGTGAAAATTAAAAATTATATAAAAATCAACACAAAAATACGGATTTATCGTTTCTTACGAGACACAAAAATAAAATTTTAAGAAAAAGTATTTTGTGAAACTACCGTTCTTCGTAAAGTTGATTTTGTGAAGGTACCACTAAACGGTAGTAAATTTGGCTCGGAGAAACCCCTGATAAGAGACTTGGTGACTCGACAGATTTAACGTGCACCAGTCTTCAGCCAGCAGGGATCGAACCCATGACCCCTTTTACATGGGCCCAGAGCCCTACCAACTACGCTATCCCGGCCCTGTTCTGCAACAGTTGCAAAATTTAAAGAAAAAAAAGGATCCACGTGAATGAAAATTGCAACTATGTTTAGAGGCACATTTTTAAATTAATTTATTTTTCGTCAACAATGTTAAATTAGAAATTCATCAATGTTCTATCCTTTTTGTTAGGCACTCAAGTAGATGATGCTCAAGCTCTGATTGCTGCCAGTAAACTGAAAATTTTAGCTTGCGAAAATCTTGATGATGCTGCAAAAATGGTAACAATTGTTTTGATGATTTTAGATATAATATCAGGGTGGCCATAGAATAGATAAATGTTAGGAAATTTTACCAAAACACCCCCCCCCCAAAAAAATTAATGTTTGAGGCACCTAATAGTTCAGTTTTTTTTTCTCTCTCCAAAAATAAGATATTTTGGAGGAAAAAAATTATCTTTTAAAAACTTAAATTGAACATTCAAATGTTTTGTAATATATTCAATGTCTAAGATTAAAGTTTGACTGTAAAATTAGTTACAGAATGTATGCAACAAACTACAAGAATCAGGGAAAAACAATGAAATCAATCTTGAAAAATTAGGAAACTTTTTTTCTGAGCGTTTGTGGCAACCCTGACCATGTGATTTATATTGATTAAGTTATTTATTTACTTATATATTTTTATGTTTAGGTTGTGAAGCTATCGACAATAGTTGGTTTAGCTCGTTCTGCATCCGTTGATGTCAAATTTGAATTACCTCTATAATTACATTTGTATTCATGTATATAAACTGACCGAATACCAAATCAAAACCTGTTTTCAAACATTAGATAAAACTTATATTTATTGTTAACCCTGCTAGGATTTGCCTTAATTGGAAAAGGCAAACTGTTGTTAGCTTAAAACAGCATTGTACTAGTAACGAGGTCTCATTTTATATTTATTTCATTGCCTCTAATTAGTAGTACAGAAGCTTAGCTTTTATTGTCAATTTGGAGCTTTATATAATTTTTGTTTTAGTTCTCTGTAAAGCATTGTAAATGAATTTTAAAAATGTTTATTTAGACATGACACATACATTAAATATTTGTCCCTATTGTATATTGATATAAGTTTTATATTAAAATATTCCCAAAATAGTTTGACTGTTTCTGAATTTTTGTTGCTTTTTTGTTTTCTAAAAAGATGATAGTTTTAATATATGTAAAAGCAAAAACATTTATCTATGATTACTACTGATAGGAACACTGGTGAATGCCAATTTAAAGTTAAAATAAATGATAAATTGTGTACAGTGCTCCTAAGTATAAATAGACCCACATAACTTCTATGTACTATGTATTCTACAAAAAAACCAGACCGAAATGAAAAACATTAGATCCAATGATTGGCTTTTCAGATTTCCAAGACTTATCTTGATGGCTCGAGGGGATGACTTCAAATATGCTGGATTTGGATTTCTGACCCCCAAAATATAGGGGTTAGCTGCATTCTGGGAAATATGGTCCCAATAGTTCAGCCAGGAGACTGTCCAAAGTTTGGACCCCTCTCCAAAAAGTTTTTTAGGACGGCTGGTTTTTTTTGTATTGCTAACTGTACACAATAATGAACATTGCGCAAAGATAACCACCCTAAATAACTTTTGATCTTCACGTTCTAAGACTCAACCTTAATGGCTCAAGAGGGTGACCTCAAATATGCAAATTAATTAGTACATACATTATTTTAAGTTAGACACAGAAATATACTTTCTCTTAATAAACATATAATTTTTTTGATGGACTTGGATTTCTGACCCCCAAAATATAGGGGTAGTCCCAATCTGGGAAACAGTCTCAAGTTTGAACAACTCAATGTTAATTATACTTTTTGCACAATTAAGATAATTCCATGCAAAATGTAACTTTTAATAAATATTTATTATTTTTAACGAAATCAGTAGAAATGTTCCTGAGAAATCGAAATTTGAAAATGTTGTTTTTGAAATTCGATTTCTCATGAACTAAACGACCAATTTTGCCATTTAAAATTATATAAAAATTTGTATACCTTACAATTAAAACAGGGTTCCCACGGTCCTTAAAAACTGCTTAACTTTTATTTTGGAAAATAAGGGCCCTTAAAAGTACTTAGTTTTGGTACAAGGTTCTTAAAAGTGCTTAATTTTTCAGCATCACTATAGTTGATATGAACAATTTTTCAGTTCGATGTTTTAAAACAAAAAGTCGTTCTTTTATCTCCTAGAATTAGATCATGCACGGTGAGTAAAGCATTTTAGAGAGACAAGAAGGGATGTGTGTGAGATGGCTACAGGCAAGGAGAAGAAAGCGTGTCTTTTTATTAATATATTGGTTCTTTCATTAATATATTCTGCC